AAAGATGTGCCATATGCCCTTGGACAAAAGACCGAAAAACAAATTCTGTTTGCAATAGTTGTAAAAAATATATTTGCCAACAATGTGCAGTTAAAGTGTGTCCGAACTGCGCTAAGTAAATTTTGTATGTGAAATCTTTTTAGTTTTTGTGTTTGAGAATACTTTGTATGCTTTTTTTATAACTTCTATGAATAAATATAACTCTGGGTCATACTGACCCATCAGTAGTAGTTGAGAAATTTATTTTGGGAGTAGTAGTTGGGGGTTTTAAAAAAATAAAAAGGATGATGGTTGGCTAAAGACAAAAAGTTGGATTCCAAATTTGGCTACATTGTGCAGAGGGGAAAAAGTTGCCTCAGTAAAGTGAAGTTTATTTTGAACTATCTTTCCAAACGAGCCCATGAAAAAATGAAAACGAGTTTGCAAAATTTAGGGATTTTCCGGATATCTTCAGAAGTATTCGGAATATTTCAAGTGGCGTTTTATTAGGTAAAAAATTGCGCAAATTTGCCCTAATTTAATTACACCTGTATCCCTTACGATTTCCTATATAGGGTACTTGCACAAATTTTTAATCCTAAAATTTCTACCATAATTCCGTGAGAAACCTTACCTGAAAGGCTCTTGCCAAATATGACCCTTTATGAATCATTATTTTGGTCAAAATTTTAAATTTTCAGAAACGATTTTGATTGGTTTGCGTCACAACTCAGTAAAACGTTGCCAAATGAATCTCCTTAATTGTACGAAATAAATATGTTACTGGCGTTGTCGGGCTGTTACATTTACTCTTTGGTAAAGTTGTACTATTTCGCAGATTACTATATAAATCGGTAGAAAAGCTTTTTTTAATTTATCATAAATAAACTTTACCAAAAGAGACTAATTTTTCTAAAACACGTAAAGCCTGTTTTTTTTTTTAAAGATAAAAGTCAAAATGCCATTATGTTGGCAATACAATGTATAATTGTCAATGCTTCCAATTTTTTTATGTAGAAAAGGCTTGTGTTGCCAACATAGTTACTAAATTTTTGACTTGGGGAATTATCTTTAAAAAAAAAAAAACAGACTTTATTTTCCAAGAACATGGTTAGTTTGAAATCATTTTTTTCATTGGAAAGTGGCAGGGTCGAAGTGGTATCAGTAGCCACGACTGATTCGAGATTGACGGATAGGATATAGGTGATGTTATTGAATTTTCTTTGTTATGTTTTTTGGCTTTGCTTTTTACACGTGGAATTTTTCAATTTTAATTGCTGTAATAAGACAAAATAACTGAGCCAGGTTTCATTAAAGCAGATTGTGACAATCTTCCTGTTATCAATGATGTAATGGTGGCTAGATTTTTTTTTGGCAAGTGAACTTTTCAACTCATCTGAGATTAAAGGAATAAAAACCCACAGGTGAGTTCAAATAAGTACTGAAATGAGAAAAATTTGCCTTTTTTCTGATAAGATGTCTAAATATAATTTTTTAATCGAGATTTCAATTTTTATTTTTGGCCAAAAGAATTATGCTGACTCTGCAGTTGGATATGTTCAACTGAAGAGGGATGGGGCTAGATGCATTCTAAAAGGAAAAGTTAGCCCCAAACATAAATAGATAGCCAAACAATACAATGTATTGTTAACAAAAAAGAAGAAGTTGAAAATATAAATTGTGAAGATTGTCCAGCATCATCAGGTATGTGAATAATAGTTATTTAATTAGCAGAGACGAACTGTAAGTAACCAGTCAGACTGATGTAGAACAGCAGGCAGTTTTCTCCAATATCAGAAACGACATCTATTTCGACTCTGTCCACTGTCCTCAATGGCTCCCCTGAAAAATAATAATTGCTTAGCAATAGCAAACCTCCAAAGGGGCTAAATTATCCAATTTCCGAGCCAATTTTTTAATATTTACCATCTGGATTATCTTCCAACAAGGCGCGAAATGAATATGATGTGCTGGGTTTTGATTTATTTTCACTTTTTTTCGAAGGGGTCGTTAGGGCATCGGAATCACCTTCTGATGGTAGCCCATCAATACTCACTTGAAGCACCTGATATAGAGCTTCCTCATACCATAAAAGTGGTTCTTCCTGTGGTGGTCCTCCGCCGGTTTTCGTCAACTGCTTTTTGTTGTTTTGAATTTTCTTTTTTAAGTTTCTCTTGATGTTATCAAATTTTAATCTAAGAGATGTTAAGTCCCTGACCTGATCGGTATTCTGTGCAATAAAATTTTCATGCACCTTTTTCCATTTTGTTTGTTTCTCTCTTAAAGATACCCCATCAGTCTGTTTGTTCTCGATTACATTGATGTGAGTGAGTAAACAATTCATAAACAGGTTTATTTCTGCCCAATTAACACCCCGTTTTTTTTTGTCTTCGTTATCCATTTTACACAAATTTAACTTTTTAACACAGGAAAAACGAAAAGTTGAGCTTGTGGTTGAGCTTTTACGTAGAATAACGCGGAATAACGGTAGAATTGAAGTTTTTAAATTCAAATTTTAATTTCGCATAAAATCATAGATGGCGCCTGGCTCCATAATGTCTTTGAGCCAAAATTTACTTGATAAAAAAAGAAGAAGAAGACAATATGAGTTGATTAACTAACGGCCCTGGCAAACTTAGCGAAAGTACCCAAATAACTTTAATCAGCATTTTTAACATTGATCAATATTTAACAGCCTGTTCACTGATCAAGTATTTGACAGAGGGCAAAAGTACCGGCCCTTAAAGTAGCCGTAATAATGCTGGAAACATTTCTAGCTTAATGCTATTTCACTTTAAGAAAGATCTGAAAATCATTTTGTTTTATCTTAACCTACGAATAAGAAATTCAGCTGTAGTTTCTTGGTTTTGAGCAATGTTGTCAATTATTTGAGTTTTATTTATACAGGGTGTCCCAAAAGTGCTGCACCGACTTCAAAACCAGAATTTTAAATGAAACACCCTGTATGTTATTGCATATTTGGATTCTACGTAAAATTCTGAGCAGAATTCATGTAATATACCCAGTTCGAAATATTGACAGTTGAAAATTGGCTTTTTGCAACTTTGACAGGCTGTAAAACCTAAACGGTTAATTTTAGACGAAAACCGATTTTACATTCCTATCTTAGATTTTTATGAACTATCATTTGACACCAACTTTGAATTTAACCGGAGATTAAATTTAACTGGAATTTTTAATCATGGATTAAATTCAAAGTTGGTGTCAAATGATAGTTTATAAAAATCTAAGATAGGAATGTATAATCGGTTTTCGTCTAAAATTAACCGTTTAGGTTTCACAGCCTGTCAAAGTTGCAAAAAGTCAATTTTCAACTGTCAATATTTCCAAAACAGTTGAACTTAGGTATAGGGTATATTACATGAAATCTGCTCAGAATTTTACATAGAATCCAAATATGCAATAACATACAGGATGTTCCATTTAAAATTATGGTTTTGAAGTAGGTGCAGCACTTTTGGGACACCCTGTATAAATAAAACTCAAATAATTGACAACATTGCTTCAAACCAAGAAACTTTTGTATTTATATTTTTTTTGTACACCCTGTAGTTTCTGAGAAAAGACATAGGCCCCTAATAAAATGCCCACCCTGTACACTAAGTGGCGAGTATGGAAAATAATGGGAGAGGACAGCGGAAGAACGGGAGGGAAAGAGCGGGAGAGAGGAGAAAGGAAAAATCTGCTCAAATGGTCATCTTTATATATCGTGCATCCAGAAGAAAAGCGTTACAACTCAAAAAACGTCTTTTTTCAGGAGAAGCATTTTAAAATTTTTAGTTATTTAATTACCTCGAACTTTTTTATTAGTTGGACCATGGTAACCATTTTTTGGTGAAATAAATGTCTATCACTGCTCTAAATGACTGTGCGGCTGAAATGTTTTAATAATGTAAATTAAAAGAGAAAACGTCAGATATATCTTTCTTGAATTTAAAATATTGGCCTTTTTCTGCAAATCCGCTATTATGCAACATTAAATTTCTGGGAATAATTGAGTTAGATTACGAAATAATATCAAAATACTATGAAATTTTGTTGATAAATTTATTAAACAGTACAACATAAGCATTTCCATTCATAATGTTTATAAAAAAAATAATTTGAAAAAAAAACTGAACTTCTTAAGGCTTTTTCAAGTTCTAAATATTGTTGGTATTGTTTCACAAATTTTTATAGAGGTTTAGGTAAAACATTGGCACGCATTTCTTTTTTTCTATTAAAGAAATCAACCCATTTTTTTTGCCTCTGAAATGCCCGGCTTTCTGATATAGGCCGGTTTAAGTTCCACTTTTGCAACGTCTACTTTTTTTCTGGCATTTACAATCTCTGCTCTTTCAAAGTCCTGTTGCTCATAGAAATTCTTATAAAATAGAAAATTTGGATTTTCTCTGTCCAGCTTAAGCACTCGTATCTCGGATAGTTTTAAATTCTTTGGCATGTTTATGAAGAGATTAGCAGCTAAGCCTTTAAGGTCTTTAAAGTCATTATGGCAAAGTTCATGTACTGTGTATGGAGTACCAGTTTTTTTTGCGGTACGTATGATGCATGCATACTGATCAGGGGCATAAATTGGACTAGATTTTTTGAATTTTTTTATTTCTCTCTCAATGGTTGCATGGACGCTATCGCCCTCACTTTGGCTATGTCCAGTAATAAAAAATTTATGGGTTATAGATTTAATATTTAGCGAAAATAAGGCAAACATGTATAATGCAATGATAAATTTGTTTTTATTTTGCCCGGCACAATTATCCGAGTAAAATATAATATTTAACCCATCATCAGTTCTTTTACGTTCCTCAGATATTTTTTGTAGGAAGTCAAGGATGCAACTACCAATTTCATTGGCTCCCCTCTGGGCCTCTCCTTCATGCCATAAATAACATGTACCTTTATTGCTCTTTATGTCGTATAAAGTAAAATTAAGAACATTAAGCTTAGAAACATAATAAAATGAAGAGGCTTCTCCAGTAGGGCAAGGTAGGACTGCTTGCAAATCATACACTATTACTTTTGTAGTCATCCCCATTTTTGTCGCCTTCTTTTTCTAGCCTACTTAAGTCTTTTTCCATAATGTGTCTCTCATACTTTTCTGTTAATCCCTGTTTCTCTTCTTCATTGCCAATTTTGTATTGCAAACATATTTCGCACTGATCCTTTTTGGGTAAGTGGAAAGTAATATTAAATTCTTCATTAAAAATTTTACAATATATAATGTAATTTCCCGCTGCCGTATTTTGGTCTACACACAACTTCTTATAGTCGCGATGTAAGTCTGCCATTGTTTTATTTCCCTCTATGTATTCTTTTTTTGAATGTGAGCGGCAATAATGGCTTTCAACTCGCGGTATTGATTTGATGTGATGTCTTATACCATTTTTTATTTCCTCGTCAACTTTGTGGTGATTCCCATGTTTTCCCCGCTTGTCACTCGCTACTACTTTTCCACTTTCGCAATGCTTCTGTTTCATTATAACAGTTTGTATTACTCTATTGTTTATTGACAAAGTCGCCATAAAAAAAAATTTGCAAACACGTATGTTTTTATCATCAACTACAAAATAGTAAGCATTATTCGGTTGTCGAGGATTTTCAGCGTTACTATATTTGTATTTTGGTGCGACAGTTTTCATGTTAGAAGAAATAAATTCTCTTTGCTTCTCGATATCACCTAATTCCCAGTAATCTTTGAATATCTTAGCTCTTTTGTCTTCAAGTAATTTTTCAGAACATTTTAGCTTACATTTATTACCACATGGAGGTAAAAGTCTTCTTGGTGGACGTTGTTTTTTTACCACGTGCTTACTACCATCTTGATTTTTTACTAGGCCCAGAGATACATAACCCTCTCCACTGTTTCTGAGTTTTTTTGCTAAATTCTTTTGCCAAATTTTGGGGTCCACTTTTCTTTTCTTACCAATTCGCTCCTTGGTACACGGATCTTTTATTTTTCTTTTTTTTTTAACCTGTATTTCAAGAGGCTCTCTGTTTTCAGTATCTGAATCTGAAGATGTGTTGTAGGTAGGGTCTTGAACGCTATCATCTGAACCGTAAGGCTCACTTTCGATTGAGGGAGATGACGATGAATTTCTTGAGGAAGATGAGCGGGATGACGATGATGAACTGCTCGAGGAAGATGAGCGAGATGACGATGGCGAGCTTGTCGAGGAAGATGAGGCAGAGCTTTGGGCTGTTCTATTTTCAGTCTCGTTATCTAGGAAAAAGAACTATTATTATTGGCTTATTATTTTTCAAAGACCAAAATTAAACATACCAACCACAATATTTGACTCATCTAATATATTGGGGTTAGGGGAATCTTTAAGCTCATCTTCATTGAAATTTTCTATCACATAGCTGATTTCTGAATCTTTGAGATTTTCAGCTTCTAGAAAAAAATTGTGGCTTTAGATGTTATTACTCTCTAGTAAAAATAAAAATAATTTACCAATATAGTCCTCTTTTGTTTTATTTTCATTTATTTCCTTCACAGCATTTTCCGACTCAATGATTTCAATTTTTTTTTCAATTGGCGTGGTTCCTTGTTCTATACCTGTATATTGTTCTTTTCCTTCATTTGTCGAGCAAGATGAGGCAGAGCTTTGGGTTGTTCTATTTTCAGTCGCGTTATCTAGGAAAAAGAACTATTATTATTGGCTAATTATTTTTCAAAGACCAAAATTAAACATACCAACTACAATATTTGACTCATCTAAAATATTAGGGTCAGGGGAATCTTTAAGCTCATCTTCATTGAAATTTTCTATCACATAGCTTATTTCTGTATCTTTGCGATTTTCAGCTTCTAGAAAAAAATTGTGTGTATTAGATGTTATTACTCTTTAGTAAAAATAAAAATAATTTTACCAATATAGTCCTCTTTTGTTTTATTTTCATTTATTTCCTTCAGAGCATTTCCCGACTCAATGATTTCAATTTTTTTTTGAATTGGCCTGGTTCCTTGTTCTATACCTGTATATTGTTTTTTTGCTTCATTTATTATTAGCTTTGTTCGATTTTTGAACGACATCGTAAGGGCTACAAATGAAAAAACCTATTTCATAATAAAAATATTTCATTTTATACAACATTATGCCTATTCAGGTTTGAAAAAAGGACGGTTCTAGAACAGTTCAATACAATCGCACAGTTTATTATTGAAATTTGTTCTAACCGAGGCGCTGTAATTTTTTTTATTGTGCGATTATTTGGAATCGTTCTAGAACCGTCCGTTTTTCAAACCTGAACAAGGCTATTATTATCTAAAATGATAATTTAAGTAGAACTCCTATGTGTGACAAAATTATTATTTTTATGTAAGAACAGCACAATCAAAAAATTTATATTTATTCCAAAAAGAATAAAGTAACATGCAAAAATACAACACATTATGATTTAATTATTTATCGGAAAAAGAGTTACATTCAATAAAATCTTTCCTAGGAATTCTAGATTATTTGAAAAATAGCTACAACCAAAATTACAACTTTCTTTCAAATTGCAAAAGATCTTATACATTCTCAATCTATAAAATAATAGCATTACATTTTGACTTATCACTTTATAGAAGAGAAACAAAATTCCTAAATAGTAATTATTCTTGCAAATATACTGATACATACCTTAATATCTCAGATTTCTCTAGCAGGGTTAAGCAAACTGGATGCACCAAAACAAAATGTAACGGTTTTCGCGAGATTCGACGAGACATCACCCACGAATGACAAAGCTAAACTAAAATGTCGCAGTCTTCTTTTTAACTGCTCCATAAGATCTGTAATTTCCAAAAAGATACATCTGCCATCTCTCGGCCGAAAAACAAAGCTTCAATGTAACTTTCTTTCCAATGAAAAAAACCATAATTTTCAGTTGATTCATGTAAAAACCTCAAAAGTGCAAAATTTTGAAATGTAACTCTCTTCTTCCGGATGAACGATATGTTTAGAACTGATATGCAATTTTTTTGATAAAAGGACGTTCAAATTGATACCCAACATGTATATGCAAAAAAAATCAAACTTTTGAGATTTTATTGACATGTTGAATTCCATTTTTTCTGTGAAAAGTGAAATTTATAATAATAAGTAAGATTTTCAACTACAATAAACTCATATTTGAAGCTAAATTTTACTTAATAAATACCCAGACAACACACCAAATCCCATGGATATCTAATGGACATCCCAATATCCACTGAATGTCCAGTCTATGGTGGATATTTAATGGATATCTACTAGATGTGAATAATAGATATTTAAAATAAAAAAGAAAGCTTAAGATGTATTGAAAAACCCATGGATATCTGTTAGATATATTATAGTCTGAGCGAGTACGGAAACTATAGTGGATATCCATTGGACGTAATTGATGGATATAATGTTTTCAAAATCCCTGAATTAAAAATTATTAAATTACCTGAGTGTTACGCCATGTGATAATTAATAGTGGTTAAAATTGGTTTAAAGATAGGTATTTAGTTAAAATTAGAGATAAATCAATGGTGACATCCGGATATCCCGTAGTTAGCCGATGGATGTATCAATAATGCGTAATAAACGCCGACAGTCGACACAGGCGCAATTGTTCTTCTCTCTCCCGCCCTGCGCTTCTACCGGTGCTGCCGCGTGTGCGACGTGCGTGCCAGCGAGTGGGATCGATCGCGAACGAAACGAAACGACTGAAACGAGTAGAACGGTCGAACGACGGAGTCGGCCATTTTGCTAGCATAGCATCATTAGCAATATTAGCGTCCTGATAAATATTCGAGATTCGTTTCGCATTTCTGTGTAGAATGGCAGTAGATAACCAATAATTAATAATATTAATTTTGTTTGTTGAGTGTCGTGTTGATATTTGGGAAAATTATTCTAATTGAATTTTAAAAAGAAGCTAGGTAAGTAAAACTTCGAAATCTAAACTAAAAGGCTGTGATTTGGAGCTGGGTCATTGGTCAAGTTGGCCCCTTACACTCGGTTTTGTACTGTTTCTCAATTATTGTAGTTATTTAATATTTAATTGTGCTCAATACAAGAAAAAATTGAAACAAATCCGGGGGGCCAGCAGCTTGACCGCCAGCGCCACATTTTTAGCAATATCTTTGGGTTATTTTTGTGCTCAACGTGGCCGATTAGGCCGGTAGAAATTTGATTTGTGCTTTTTTTCTATATCGAAAAGCAATAGAACAAATCTGGGTGGACTGCCCCTGAATTCAGGCACTTATCTTATTATTGTTGTGTAATAACAGGGTGGTGAATAGCAGGTAATACCAGGTACCATACCTGTTATACAGTGAAGAATATTTGGCAGGTGGTATTATGGGAGGCTGGCCCCCGAATTTTGTTTTATTTTTTTTTGGTGTTGAAAAAGAGGGGCCAACTTGACTGAGCTCTGATTTGGTTCAATTTATAACTAGAATTTGTGGCGTTTCCTTAGTTTCATACAATATCCTATAAGAGGGAATGGCAATTTTACCAGGATAATATTTTGTACAGCCAAAAATTATTCAAAATTCATCATTCAATCTAAATTATACGAAAGCGTAGAGGGGCCACATCCTACTTTTTTTTTGGTATTCACACTTTTTTTACGAAATTTCGTAAAAAAAGTGTGAATTCACAAACTTTTTACGAAATTTCGTAAAAAAAGTGTAAATTTTTGCTTTTCTGTAAAAAAAGTGTGAATTCACAAACTTTTTACGAAATTTCGTAAAAAAACTGTGAATTCACACTTTTTTTACGAAATTTTGTAAAAAAAGTGTGAATTTTTGTTTTTTGTAAAAAAAGTGTGAATTCACAAACTTTTTACGAAATTCACACTTTTTTTACAGAATTTCGTAAAAAAAACTGTGAATTCACACTTTTTTTACGAAATTTCGTAAAAAAAGTGTAAATTTTTGCTTTTCTGTAAAAAAAGTGTGAATTCACAAACTTTTTACGAAATTCACAATTTTTTTACAAAATTTCGTAAAAAAACTGTGAATTCACACTTTTTTTACGAAATTTCGTAAAAAAAGTGTAAATTTTTGCTTTTCTGTAAAAAAAGTGTGAATTCACAAACTTTTTACGAAATTCACACTTTTTTTACAGAATTTCGTAAAAAAACTGTGAATTCACACTTTTTTTACGAAATTACGTAAAAAAAGTGTGAATTTCGTAAACTGATTGTAAAATGCAAATGGCAGTTACATTCTTCATTCATTCTGCGTTCAACATTATTGTAAGTATTTGTGTCGGTAGCTCCGCCTAAACGCGCATCGCATCGCGTCGCGTATGTGATTTTTAGTACTAGTACCAAAAAAAAAAAAACAAAACATTAAACTTTCTAATTGTATTAAAAATAAAAAAAAAATATTTTTTATCGATGTCGAGGTCATCTAGATTTAACATAAAAATGGCTCTAGTAACGGTATTTTTCAACCGATTTTTGATATCAAAAAACCGTAGGTATCTAGTCTTCTAGAGCTTTATCCGAATATTTCACTCATGTATAAATTTTCCTATGGGAGAAGTGTCAAATCAAAAAATTACAGCGGATATACAAAATCGAAAACACCAAAACGAAAACACCAAAACGAAAATACCACGTCGTCAGGGCAACAAGTTTGACAAAAAATCATAGAAAACACGCAATCGTGAAAAATTATCGGTAATTTTTAAGCACTCGTGGTATTACCCCCGAATATACAAAATCGATAACACCAAAACGAACATACCACGTCGTCAGGGCAACCAGTTTGACAAAAAATCATAGAAAACACGCAATCGTGAAAAATTATCGGTAATTTTTAAAAGCACTCGTGGTATTACCCCCAAAATATACAAAGTGTCATTTGAAATAAGATAATGTTAGTCACTTAATAAGTTTTTCAAGCTCAAAAAATGCATGTTATATGTTATATCACTATTAAACCCTACCAAATTTTAAATTTTTATCTCAAAAAATATAGAAAAAATATGGGGGGCACCTAGTTTCGTTGTCACCCTGTATAGGTTAGGTATATTTTTTATGGATAAAAACAAAAATCTGAGAATTATTTGTTTTTGCCGGTGTACCCAGGCATTGAAAATACATATTTAGGGTATAATAATATCTAAAGCGAATGCAAATTTTACAAATATCTACAAATTTATGGCAGAAAGTAATAATTAATTTTACTTTAAATTATGACAAGTCAGATCGGGAACAGAAGTTGAAAGGTTCCAAATTATTTATTACTTTTAAGTAGGTAGCTTAATAGAGAATTTTATGTATTTACCTCCTCCATTGTATTCTCCGCTCAAAAAAACTATTCCAAGATGCACTAAAAATCACATACGCGACGCGATGCGATGCGCGTTTAGGCGGAGCTACCGACACAAATACTTACAATAATGTTGAACGCAGAATGAATGGAGAATGTAACTGCCATTTGCATTTTACAATCAGTTTACGAAATTCACACTTTTTTTACGTAATTTCGTAAAAAAAGTGTGAATTCACAGTTTTTTTACGAAATTCTGTAAAAAAAGTGTGAATTTCGTAAAAAGTTTGTGAATTCACACTTTTTTTACAGAAAAGCAAAAATTTACACTTTTTTTACGAAATTTCGTAAAAAAAGTGTGAATTCACAGTTTTTTTACGAAATTTTGTAAAAAAATTGTGAATTTCGTAAAAAGTTTGTGAATTCACACTTTTTTTACAGAAAAGCAAAAATTTACACTTTTTTTACGAAATTTCGTAAAAAAAGTGTGAATTCACAGTTTTTTTACGAAATTCTGTAAAAAAAGTGTGAATTTCGTAAAAAGTTTGTGAATTCACACTTTTTTTACAAAAAACAAAAATTCACACTTTTTTTACAAAATTTCGTAAAAAAAGTGTGAATTCACAGTTTTTTTACGAAATTTCGTAAAAAGTTTGTGAATTCACACTTTTTTTACAGAAAAGCAAAAATTCACACTTTTTTTACGAAATTTCGTAAAAAAAGTGTGAATTCACAAACTTTTTACGAAATTTCGTAAAAAAAGTGTAAATTTTTGCTTTTCTGTAAAAAAAGTGTGAATTCACAAACTTTTTACGAAATTTCGTAAAAAAACTGTGAATTCACACTTTTTTTACGAAATTTTGTAAAAAAAGTGTGAATTTTTGTTTTTTGTAAAAAAAGTGTGAATTCACAAACTTTTTACGAAATTCACACTTTTTTTACAGAATTTCGTAAAAAAACTGTGAATTCACACTTTTTTTACGAAATTTCGTAAAAAAAGTGTAAATTTTTGCTTTTCTGTAAAAAAACTGTGAATTCACAAACTTTTTACGAAATTCACAATTTTTTTACAAAATTTCGTAAAAAAACTGTGAATTCACACTTTTTTTACGAAATTTCGTAAAAAAAGTGTAAATTTTTGCTTTTCTGTAAAAAAAGTGTGAATTCACAAACTTTTTACGAAATTCACACTTTTTTTACAGAATTTCGTAAAAAAACTGTGAATTCACACTTTTTTTACGAAATTACGTAAAAAAAGTGTGAATTTCGTAAACTGATTGTAAAATGCAAATGGCAGTTACATTCTTCATTCATTCTGCGTTCAACATTATTGTAAGTATTTGTGTCGGTAGCTCCGCCTAAACGCGCATCGCATCGCGTCGCGTATGTGATTTTTAGTGCATCTTGGAATAGTTTTTTTGAGCGGAGAATACAATGGAGGAGGTAAATACATAAAATTCTCTATTAAGCTACCTACTTAAAAGTAATAAATAATTTGGAACCTTTCAACTTCTGTTCCCGATCTGACTTGTCATAATTTAAAGTAAAATTAATTATTACTTTCTGCCATAAATTTGTAGATATTTGTAAAATTTGCATTCGCTTTAGATATTATTATACCCTAAATATGTATTTTCAATGCCTGGGTACACCGGCAAAAACAAATAATTCTCAGATTTTTGTTTTTATCCATAAAAAATATACCTAACCTATACAGGGTGACAACGAAACTAGGTGCCCCCCATATTTTTTCTATATTTTTTGAGATAAAAATTTAAAATTTGGTAGGGTTTAATAGTGATATAACATATAACATGCATTTTTTGAGCTTGAAAAACTTATTAAGTGACTAACATTATCTTATTTCAAATGACACTTTGTATATTTTGGGGGTAATACCACGAGTGCTTTTAAAAATTACCGATAATTTTTCACGATTGCGTGTTTTCTATGATTCTTTGTCAAACTGGTTGCCCTGACGACGTGGTATGTTCGTTTTGGTGTTATCGATTTTGTATATTCGGGGGTAATACCACGAGTGCTTAAAAATTACCGATAATTTTTCACGATTGCGTGTTTTCTATGATTTTTTGTCAAACTTGTTGCCCTGACGACGTGGTATTTTCGTTTTGGTGTTTTCGTTTTGGTGTTTTCGATTTTGTATATCCGCTGTAATTTTTTGATTTGACACTTCTCCCATAGGAAAATTTATACATGAGTGAAATATTCGGATAAAGCTCTAGAAGACTAGATACCTACGGTTTTTTGATATCAAAAATCGGTTGAAAAATACCGTTACTAGAGCCATTTTTATGTTAAATCTAGATGACCTCGACATCGATAAAAAATATTTTTTTTTTATTTTTAATACAATTAGAAAGTTTAATGTTTTGTTTTTTTTTTTTTGGTACTAGTATTTAACCTGCAATATCGCGAAATAGAAACCATAGGCTTCCATTTGAAAAAAACACAGTGGCAGCGTTTGAAAATTTCGAAAAATTGAATATTAACTATTAAAATCGAGCAGTCCAAAATTTTGAGATTTTAACGTATGGAATATGTTGAAATAAACACAAAAAAAGAAATTTCACACTAACTTGATTCATCTACACATTCTAGTCCTTATTTCAAGGTCATTTAGATTTAAAATAAAA